TCCTGGATCACCGACGAATGTTTTTGCAATAGTGAATACTAATATTGCCACCGCATCTGAGATGGTGTCTCCATCCTGAAGAATTGGTTCACCATTAATATCAATTTGACTGCATTAAGAACACTATCCTTGTCTTCTGTGGTGAGGTGTTCATCCCACCATCCTTTAAATTGTCCAGTAAATCTTGTAATTAGGATATGAGCAACTAATTGTCGGTACAGCTATGTGATGTTCGATAAGCTGTTACCACCATTGTCATTTGTTGAAGAATTGTAAGAATGTTGTATTCTGACACCCCATCTATGCTCCATTCATATTTGTTGTTTGCATTATATGAATTTTGCAAGATGTTAGGTTTTTCTTCAAGAAGGATATCTTGATAGGTAGCTCTGGAGTAGTATAGTTTTTGTGGATTTTTTCAATTGGTAATTTGGTTTTGTGAAGAAGAGGGTTGTAGTTTGTTTATAACCAAAGATTCTTGGAATTCTTCTTTGGTTATTGTACAAGCTGATTGGCTAACACTTGCGGATCCTTGATTGTTTGATCCTTGTTTGGATGTTGGGGTAGAAAAGGATTATTCTATTTTGGCTATTCATTTTTTTAATTGGATTAATGGTTTGATTTGGAGGTATGGAATTTGGTTGGTATTTCATGAGGTTTGAAAAGTGGGTTTGATGAGGAGGTGTTTGTAGAAGGAGTTTTAGGAATAGGCCTGGTTAGGAGATATTCTCCAAGTGTTTGTAAGTACTTGTTAGTGTAGTTATTCTGTTCGTATATCCCCTGAATGTCCTTGCCGTTGACTGTTTCTTCATTTTGGGCAGTTTTGAGCTTGAATGGTTTGGCATTGATTTCTGTTGACTTGTATGAGAAAGTGATTGATTTTGGTGGCGGAAGTTCTGCTTGAATTTCTCCTTCAGTTGGTTGTCACCTTTTTACCATTTTGTTGTTTGAGAAAAAGGATAATCAATCCCGTTTCTTTGTGAATATACTTCGAATCAATCAAAGAACTGAATATGTTGTTTTGTTCTTCTGAGAAATCCATAGAATTCTTCTTATATTTTTTGTCGATGTTGTCCCTTGTATTTGTCAAAGAACCATGTTCTCTTGGCATGGTTGTATTCTGCTTAAAATTCTGTCTTGAAATCTTGTTTGTCAATTTGGTATTCCATAGTAAGTACCCTCAATTCATCAAGTTGAGGATGACTGTCTGTTATGGAGGAATATGTAGGAGATCTAGGAAGTCCTTCTTGATTCGGATCATCAGATGATCCATCTTGGATTTCTGAAGGGGTAGGCCTGCTGGTTGCATACCTTGCTTGTGGAATTTTAGCAGAGAGATCTAGATCTTGAAGTCGGGTTGAGATAGAAGAAATCAGTGGCCTATGTGAGAACCCGGAAAAATTCTTTAGTTTAGGCATTATTTTATTCCTTTGCACACGTTTTCTATATTTTCTTTATTATATTAATTTTATAGATATTTTATAAGTAAATATAGTTTTTAAATTATTTTTCTAGTATAAGTTATTTTATGAGAAATTAGGAGTGTATATTGGACGTGGGACCCGCTAGTGCGTTAAGTGAGAGAAATTCGGCCAATTAGGGTAAGTTTTGCATAAAGAGATTTAATTACTAGGTGTTAGGAGATAATTAGAGGTTACCTAGATAGATTAACCATGGGGAGACAAGAAGAAAGTTTAAGCATAAAAAGGTGCCAAGTGTCACTTTCCTATTCAAAGTTGGACTTGCCTAACTTTTTACCTTTACTAAAACTTCAATTTTGACCCAAAAATCATCTTCATTTCCAACCTCTTGGCCGAACCTCTTAAGGAGAGAAAAGAGAGAAAGCTTGAACTTTCATCTTCCATTTCTTGCTTAATTCTTGAAATCCAACTGATTGAATCTTGAATTTGTCCACAAAAGTGACTTGCTAAGCGAGTTTCAAGGTATTGGTGGAGTTGGTTTGGAGGAGGAACCTCTAAACTACTACCTTTCTTGAGGCGTTAAGGTATTTTACTTGGAAACTTATTCTTTGTTCCTAATAATGGTAAATTAGTGACTTATGGTGGCTAAATAGGTTGTTTTATGGAAGATTTCATGGATTAAAATGGAGTTAGATAAATTTCTGATTTTTTGGGGATTTTTCTGTTTTCATGTGATGGTTATGGTTGGCCTTGGATTAGTAGCTCTAAATTGTGTTAAATAGAGCTCTTGTGCGTTAATTGCGGTTATTTGCGAAAAATTTCAGCTTGTGCGGAAAATTTCAGATTTAGGGCTTCTAATTAGGGCTTTACTATGGTTGGTTGTTGAGCTTCTAATTGGCTATGATTAAGGGGTATTGTGACCCTAATGAAGTGTGCTGAATGGCCTATAAATTGTTTGTGTGCTTGTGGTTGTTTTGGATGAATTTAAATGGTTGTTTGTAAGATGAAAAATCTGAAATTTTAGGGGAAATGTGTCCAAATGTTAAGGATATTGGATTCTTGTGAGTTTAGGTTGAGATTGAATAGAAATGAAAGGTTTTGGGGTTAGTTTCTACTTTTAACCCTAAATGTTATGTATTTTCCATTCCAAGCTATATTTGATTTTGCCTTAATTGTTCATTTAAGAGGTATTCGACTCGTGTCCGAGTCTCAATTGTGCTTTCTTGATTGTTATACGGCGTGCCGGTGATTCGAGGCTTACGTCGGGCGAAAACTTGTGAAATTGCTTTGTTTGACTTGGTGAGTGTACTACTCACATGATTGTTATTCCGTGGCTTTATTGTACTTGAAATCTGTGATTGGACTACTTGTAATTACTGTTTATGCTAGATGAGACGAGGGTGTACTTTGCCACTCTCGTATTCCATGGCTTATTTGACCGTTTACTGTATCACTTGGAATTCTCTTGATTGTACTTGATTTGGTGTCGTTTGGACGTGTATCCAACGACCTTTACTATTAACTCTGAGCTCAACCTCACTGGTAATCAATTGACTCGAGCCAGCAAGGGTTTGGTCGAGAAAAATTGACAAGCCATGGGGACTGTTTTGTGGATCTTTGGGTATGAGACTCTTGATTCCGGTATACTTGAGTATTACCATTTCTGTTCTGATTGGTGTTCGGGCTCGGTAAGGGGTATGTGTGGTGGACGGAAATCGGAGTAAAGTGGGGTCTACGGTAATGGTTACTCTTAAGCGTTGATGGAGAGTCAACGAGGTGAGATCAAGTACGGCAAAAGGGGAAGAGGGCTCTTGAGAGCCGTCCGTATCCTTTTACTCTCTAAATGATGTATGATGGTTGTTCCTGCTTATTTGATGAATGTATTTGACATAAGTAGCATTGTGTTTTGGTGATCCTTGAATGCTTGAGTGATGGTACCTCATTGGGCGAAAGCTCACCCCGTTAACTTTGTTTTCCTTACAGGAACCCATCTTTTGGAACAATGATCATTTTGAAGAATGAATAGAGCTAGTATAAATACTCTTTTGTATAGCTCATCGGGAGTTGGAAAACCCTAAATGTACCTTGATTCAAATATTTCCCTTTCGATTTGTAAATTACAAACATATGTGTATAAAACTGTTTAATCGTGTTCATGCATTATATTTGGTTTGGAAATGTTAATTCTCCGGAGTAATATAACGTTATCTGTATTCGATTGGGTTCCGTTTGGATTGTGACGTGGCGGTCACTATTCACTTTCAGTTTCGATTTTCATTTTTTCATTTTGTGATTGTTGGATCGTTTTGGAGCACTAATATATATATTTCAGAACGTTTTAGTTTGTGTATTACCGTATTAGTAGTCCTGACGAGAGTTGGGCAGGCAGTTCGCTAACCCCTTTAGTATGCCTTAGGGGAAGGTGGGGCTGTCACAGTTGGTATTAGAGCCTAGGTTAGAAATAACCTGGGCGAACACGAAACCTGATTCTTAGAACTTTTAGGGATTGTGTTAGAGTGTGTTTAAGTATGACTACTCTGTCTAAGTTGTAAACTGTGGATATCCTTATAGGTCATGGACGGAGCTAGTGTGAGCGGAGGTGGGCCACCTTGGAGGCATTTTCGCGTCGTCGCTTATGAGAAGAGGCCCGGAGGACCGATTTGGCACTGGAGCACGGCTAGTCGAACTAGGCGCTGTTGTCATTGCCAGCATTACTCCTACGCTGACCATGTGGTCGTGGCCGTGTTAGATGAGAGGAGGAGGTTCAGGCGTGCCGCCGCCAGAGATCACACTGAGTTGCAGCGTGTTAGGGGCATCATGAGAATGCAGGCGGATCGAATTCGGGAGCTACAGGGGGACGTAGCCATGGAGCAAGAGCGGACGAATGCTCTTAGAGAGCAGTTACACGTAGCTAACAGCCGTCTCACCAGGGTGGTCCGGGAGGTTAGAGACCTGCCCGGTGGTATTATTAACGAGTGTGAGGCGCTAATCCAGGGAGTGATTGGCGCTAATGTGCCAGGGGGAGTTCCGGGCGATGGAGCTCCAGGCGAGGGAGGCGCCCCTAGTTCTAGCTCTGGGGAGGAGTCGGTTGGCTCAGTTGAGAACTAGGTTAGAGTTCCCTGGGCCGTGTTTTGATCCCGTGTGAGGGGTACCTAGGACAAGCTCTCTGTTAGCGGTTTTTGTGTTTTGGCCTAGCTTTGTATATTGTCTTTTTGGAGGACCCCTTTAGTTTCATGGGATTACTTTTGTATGTACTTGACTGACTGCTCCTGTATAATTGTTTGAAACAGTTATGTGTTCTATATATAAATGCTTTATGTGTATATATGCCTTATGTGCTGTTTACTTTTGGTTAATTGTTCATGCTTATATGTCTATACTTATGTGCCCCTTTAACATTATACCTGTGTCTCGACCTTAGTTTGACTTAAATCAATGGAGGGCACTCGTAGTGGACGAGGCCGTGGGCGTGGAGTTAGGCAACCCATGACTGAAGGGGGTACTAGGGCCACCACGTCTGAACCAAACCCTAAACCTAGGGTTGATCCTAATATCCAAATAGCTGCTGCTATGAAGCAAATGACTGACTTGTTAGCCCATGTAGTGCAACACCAGGGCCAACATCCTGTCCAGCAACCTGAGAACCCTGACAATCCAGTAGAGGGTGAAGATCGGGCCCTCGAGAGATTTCAAAAGTTCTCTCCACCAAAATTTCTGGGAGGGCCAGATCCAGACGTGGCCGAAAGGTGGTTGGAGAAAATGATAGACATTTTTGCCGCCCTACTCTATTCAGAGGAAAGACAGGTTACTTTCGTTGTCTTCCAGTTGGAAGGGGCCGCCCGTTCTTGGTGGAATGTGATACGGATGAAGTGGGACTGGGAGCAAACACCAAGAACATGGGTAAATTTCATGAGGGACTTCAACACGAAATACTTTTCACCTCATGTCCAGGAAAAGAAGGAGGACGAGTTCATTAGGCTCCGTCAAGGGACTCAAACGGTGGCTGAGTACGAGAGCCAGTTTACTCGATTATCCAAGTTCGCCCTTGAACTCATTCTGACAGAGCAAAGGAGAGTTCGACGTTTTATTCAGGGGCTAAATGTGGAAATTTAAAAGGATCTGGCGGTAGCCCAGATCAATACCTTTAGTGAACCTGTGGAGAAAGCTTTGCGAGTTGAAAATGCAAGGCTTCAAGTTAGGAACTTTCAGGTGAAAAAATAGGGATTTTCTGTGAGTAGTTCGACTCAAGGGGATAAAAGTGCCCCTCCCAAGTTTGGAAGGGGAGCCGGAGGAGGAAGGCTACCGTGAATGGCACGAGGGACTCCGCCAAGAGGTGGTCAAAATGGATGGGTCCCACAGAAAAGTGCCTCACAGGGAAGTTCGGCCTCGATTTCTCGTGGACCGTGTGGATTTTGTGGGAAATCAAACCACACCGAGGACAATTGTTGGAGGAAGGAAAGAAAATGCTTACGCTGTGGGAGTGCGGAGCATCAAATAGCCAATTGCCCGGTGTTACCTCGGGAGGCGAGAGGAACCACCCAATCATCGAAGGCCAACTCAGGGTAGTCCAAGGTGGAAGGGACAAAGCTGAAGGTGCCAGCTCGGGTATACTCCCTTGAGCAACATCAAGTCCTTGATTCATCTGGGGTCGTAGAAGGTACAATCCCTATCTTCCATCGTCTAGCAAGGATTTTGATAGATCCCGGTGCTACCCATTCCTTTGTTAACCCCGATTTTATGTGCGAAATTGATATAAAACCTGTTAGTTTGCCTTATGACTTGGAAGTTAGTACTCCTACAGGGAATCAACGTTTGATTACTGGTATGATGTATGCTAATTGTGAAATTTGGGTAGGAGAGAGGAAACTTTTGGGGAATCTTATAATCCTAACTATTAAGGGGTACGACGTTATATTGGGTATGGACTGGTTAGCTAAATACGATGCACAACTTGACTGTAAGAGAAAAGTGGTGGAATTTCGTATACCGGGGGAGGCGACTTTAAGGCTAGATGTAAGGGGTAGTCTAGCCTCATCTGCATTGATTTCGGGTATTCGGGTTAGAAAACTACTGAATAAAGGGGCACAAGGGTTTGATAAGTTGAAGGTAGAAGATGTATCAGTAGTGAGTGAATATCCGGATGTATTTCCTGATGAATTAGTAACTTTACCTCCGGAGAGAGAGATAGAGTTTATGATTGACCTATTACCGGGGATGTCACCTATCTTTAAGACCTCCTATCGAATGGCACCTGCTGAACTAAAGGAGTTGAAATTGCAGTTGCAGGATTTGTTGGAGCGTGGGTTTATTCGTGAGAGTGGATCTCCTTGGGGGGCACCTGTGCTATTTGTTAAGAAGAATGATGGAACTTTGAGATTATGTATCGACTATCGGGGATTAAACGATATGACCTTTAAGAATAAATACCCACTACCCCATATCGATGAACTGTTTGACCAATTGCAAGGTGCGGTGGTCTTTTCAAAGTTAGATCTCCGACAGGGATATTATCAGTTATTAATTAAGAAGGAAGATGTACCAAAGACTGCCTTCAATTCTAGATATGAGCATTTTGAGTTTGCGGTCATGCCCTTTGGGTTGACCAATGCCCCTGCCGCCTTTATGGATTTGATGCATCGGGTTTTCAAACCCTACCTGGATCGATTTATTGTAGTGTTTATTGATGACATTTTGGTCTATTCAAAAACTCGTGAGGAACATGAGCAGCAATTGAAGTTAGTTTTACAAACCCTAAGAGATCACCAGCTATAAACTAAATTTAGTAAATGTGAATTTTGGCTGGAGAAAATTTCTTTCTTGGGACTTGTGATTTTGAAAGAGGGTATCACTGTGGATCCTACGAAGGTAAAGGCAGTGACTGTGAGACCCCGGTCAGTTCTTCTTTGATATTAGGTGATATTCATTATTTGTGCGGTAAAATTTGGGGTTTTAGGGTTAATTAGAAAACCCTGAGTTGGGGTTAGGATTGAAACCCTAGTTTTTGTATTAATCATAAGTTCGAGTAGTGGTTAAAGTTAGTTATGCTAGTGTGTATGTTTTCGTGCGGGTAGTAGAGGATTTGATCCATTTTATATTGGTTAAGTAAGTTCAAAAGGTAGACAACCTCAGACTAGTAAACCCTCTAGTGTTCCAATAGATTAGAAAGCTTAAGTTGGGTTCCAATAGATTAGCAAGTTGGGTTAAAACCCTAATTTTGCCAATGTTATAAAGGTTGTTGTTTAATTATTTTTATTATGGATAAAGTATGATTAAGTATAGGTGGTTAAGATAGGAGTGTGATTGGTGAAGTGATTAAGTGTGATCAAGTGTTTTAGACTAGATTAAGTTATCATTTATGGAGTAAATTGAAAGATTTTCAATGTTTGAGGGCAAAGGAGTAAGAAAGAGAAAGTAAAGGTTGTAAGGGCTAGGAGGCAATAACCAAGCTTTTATTTGATTGGTGGAAGTGATAAATATCTTCCATAAGCTTTGACTATATTATACCATAGGATTTGTAAGATAATCAAAAGGCAAAAAACAAAACAAAGCCAAAGAGAAAGAAAGAGAGAAAGAGCAGAGAGGGAGAGAAGCTAAGGGAGAGAAAAACTTTTGTTTCTTGCATCTTGTTATCCATTAATCTTGAGTTTGGACATTGGAGGAACAACTTGGAGCTTGGATTTTGGAAGATCAACCTAAGAAACTTGCAACTTGAAGGTAAGTTATCTCTTTTGAAAGTTAAATTTTGGGGCTTTAATCTTGAAGCTATGGAAGTGATGCTTTTGTTGTGATTATGCATTTTTATGGGTTGTATGATGATTATGGAGTAGTTTTATAGTTTATTTTGATTGTTATATTGCTGAATTTGGTAAAGGCTAGGAGGAAAAGGTAGGGTTTCTTGATTCATGATTCATAGAGTTGGCTTGGTTGGATTTTGGCTTGTTAATGGCATCTTTGATGTCTTGATTTCATTTGTATGGTTGGTAAGTAGCAAATTCCAGATTGGTCATGAAACCCTAAGTCAAAGGAAAGTTAGTTTGGTTGGGTTAAGGCTTAAGTGATTAGAGTTTAATTGATTAGGTGGAGAAACCAGTAAAGTTAGTAGGATTAGCACCTAGATTATGGTTAGTATTGGGTAAGTCTTGGGATGATATTGGGAAAGGAATTTCGGTTTTCTTGTAGGGCAAATAGGAGGTGGTTTATGTGTGTTTATTTGGTATGAGTTTGGCTAGGAAGTTTGTACGAGAACCATAAAAACGGACCATGCGTTTGTGACGTTCGAAACCGGCAAACCTGGAAACAGGGCAGTCCACAAATCAGAATTTGGGTTCTATTTTTCTTTAAGCTGCGTGCTGATTCAGAAGTTTCTCAAAACATGAAAGTTGTAGTTTCTTAAGTCCTTAAGGTACCTGGAAAATTTCAGGGCAAACGGATCAGTGTAGCCTGAGTTATAGCCGAAACACTCACTCCTATTTTGAACACTGGATTGTGTTACGTTTTTGAATTTTGCTTCTGACCATACTTTGTCCGTCTTGATAACGTGCAAACTGGGTGTTGATCCCTTCATAATAAATGTAGATCTTGGTCTTAGCTTCGAAACAGTATAAAGTGCATCCAAATCCGAGTTCCGTAGCTTCAGTTATGACCAAAACAAGATCGGTTGTCAGAACTGCCTTCGGATTTGGACAGTTCTGACAGGAACTTTGAACCTCTTTTTCCCTATGCTCCATACTGATTCAGCTTTTGGTCAAAACACAAAAGTTATAGCCTTATAAATAAGCTTTCTACTACCTTTGGAATTTCTTGATTCCAATTTCTGAGTCGTGATTTATGGTCTTTCAAACAGGGCCTGTTTGGTAACCCGAAATGAAATGGCTGGAACTATTTTGCACATTTTTGTCCTAGTTCCATTGAGATCTGGCTTGAGGTGCCTTTATGAAAGTTGTAGCCCTTCTTCTTAGCTTCGCAACGGTACCTCATGCACTTCGATCCGATAATCATAGCCTGAAATTTGATCAAAACAGTTCTAGGTGCCAAATCTGCCGTTTCCGTTGCTGGCCATTTACGTTTTCGTTTGCCGTTTCCGCACTTGCATGTGCCAATTTTGCCGTTTTGCTTGTTTTAGGCATGTTAGTTGCCATTTGTGATATAATGTGATGCAATCATCTATTTCAGACGGTGGTGAGTTAGGCGGAGCCGGTGGGGTCTACTACTAGCTATCCTTCGCGACGTAATTTTCGTACTTTTGCTATCTTGGTTCTTTGAGTAAGTATTCGGGCCATTTTGTATATATGACTTGCTTATGTGTCTAAGGTGAATGAAAGGGTACCTAGGCGAGGGTGTACTTCATCGCACTCGACCTAAACCCTAATTTACATGCATATTTATACATGACATGTTTAAATAAATTATTTTGGGGTTGAACCCCTTGAGCTTGTAGCTCGGGGTGACGTTTGTGAGTTGGGGTCGATCTTCCGACCTAGATGGACTATTCGAGCCAGCCGAGGCTTGGTCGAAACCAGTCCAATCTAGTCTGAGGTCACCAAGTTTGTAGGTTCAAGTTGTGAACCAAGTTTGTAGGTTCAAGTTGTGAACCAAATTTGTGAACCGAGCTTGCGAAGCAAGTTAAATTTCGTTTCGTTCGCTCGAGCAAGTTTGTGAGGTGACTGGCCAGTGAGGGTGATAAGATGTTAGGTGGGAGTACAAGTGGAGTTCTACGGACCTTATTTGTGGTCGACGGAGTGTCGGCAGGAGGTCACGGATGGCAAACGACTTGGCTTTGGAGCCAACTTGTATCCTTCATTTGTATTGTTACTTTTGCACTTGACTTGACATTTTGTGAAATAGTTGTTTATCTAAATATGCAATTTATGATTTTACCCCTGTTTACTTACTAAGCACATAGCTTATCCCGTTTCCTTTGTTTTCCTTAGCAGGGGACGACACGGGGAACTCCTTGGCACATTCACTAGTATAGTTAGGTTTGCTTGTAATAGTTAGACAATTAAGATGGTTATTTTTGTTTTGGTGGTTTGTATAAGGACCCTTCTTAGGGTCTACTTTCTGCTGGTTGTTATCATAATGTAATATAATGGTTTGACTAGCTGCTTTTGGGG